CAAACTGTATGGCCGTGGCAGGCTTCTTGCTAACTGTTCTTATATCTTAAATTAACCCATTTCTATTAATCTATACCTTGCCACGTGGCTCGTGGATTACCGGCATCTTCACATGTTGCTTGTCCTGGCGGCAGCTGGCAGTATCTCTCTCTGCCTTCCTGTTCTCTCAATTCTCCTCTCTGTTAGTCACTTATACTTCCTGCCTGGCCACTGGCCAATCAGTGTTTTATTTATTGACCAATCAGAGCAATTTGACATACAGACCATCCCACAGCACTTCTCTCTCTCTCTCTGTCTCACTGTCTCTGTCTCTCTATCTCTGTCTGTTTGTCTCTCTCTGTCTCTGTCTCTCTCCACATATATATATGTTGCTGTTCCAGTGTAGGTACACACCCATAGAGGTACAGAGGTTAGAGGTCAGATGTCATTTCTCAGGAGCCATCTCCCCTCTTGTTGTGGTGACAGAGTCTCTCACTGGGACCTGGGACTCATCTACTAGGCTACACTGGCTGGCCAGAGAGTCCTAGGGATCCTCTTGTCTCTGCCTCCTCAGAGCCAGGATTGCTGGGGATCCAACTCTGGTCCTGATGCCTGTGTGGCGAGCGCTTTTCTGACGGAGCCATACCCCAGCCCCTACATCCCCTTCGCCAGCACTACATTCCAGCTAGAAATGGGCAGTGTTTGCAAAGCCAACACAGGCTCTGGCCTTACCTGGTTCACGTGGAGAACACTGCTCCTAAATGGGCCTAAAACTACCCCTTGAGAGACACGGGCGCTTCTGCTAACTTCTTCCTGGGAAATAGCAACAGTTTATTCATTTTCTTGGTCAGAGGCTCACAAGGATTGAACACATCCCCAGGAGAGAAACAAATGCTTCACAGATCATCTTTATAACACTCATATTAATAAATGTACACATCAACTGCACCAGCAGTGTGGCAGTCCAAAGTGGAGGACGTGTTTATTAACTGGCATTGCTTACAAGCTTGCTGGGGGGCAGCCTTGCCCCTGCTCTGGCATTAGAGGGTTTGTGGGGAAGCTTCCCCCATGTACAGGCATTAGGAGTACTGTGGAGCAGGCTAATTTGTTCACTGGCATTAGGAGATAATTCTGAGTAAACCAATTGCATAGAGTCCTGAAAGACAGGGCTATCTTTAAAAAAAAAATCTCAACTTCATTTTTAAAAGGATAATTCTAAGAGACATAGCAACTACTGGCAATGTGGAGAGAGGTGCCATGAAATGAGCATCTTATTTAAGACCAAGCACCAGGTGTGTATGCAGGCAGGTAAATGGAAGAGCCCCAGAGAGCAGGCAGCGAGCAGTATGTGGTGGTGAACTCGTGTGAAAGGTACAAGACACACCATTAGATATTTTTGTTTCT